ACTATCCCTTTAACTAGGATTACTGTAAATAATATATAAAAGAAATATAAAATGCAAACTAAACTGTAACAATCAAAAACTTAGTTGAAACGATTCAGCTACTGATTCTGCATGTTTGACACCAGTCAGTACATTCCAGAATATGACTGTTTTCCTGTTTGAGGAGTCAGGTGATGTCTCTCCTCAGGATATGATCAATAATAGTTTGAATCATGTCAAATAATAATCCACCGAGCGAGGGAGTAAAGATGTTTGCCCTGGCAATGGATTCTGCACAAGGTATTACTGATCTTACCACTCTTTTCTAAGTATATACTGTGATATTTAGAAAAGGTTTTTGAGGTAATAAACAAACATTTTCAAGCACAAACATTGGCTTTTAGTTCCACAACTAATTCCATTCATGAAACTGACACATCTTCAGCAAATGCTCATTTAACCTTTGGATTTCAGGGCTTGAATAGAAAAGCAATTAAACTGTCACTAGTAATTAAATAAGGGATTTGGTGCAGAATTAGGTTTAATCTACACCACAAACAAACAAATACCTCTGGAAGGGTCATAAAACCAGCTTAAAGGCCATCAGATATGGATTATACATGCATATTTCAGCTCTGTTTTCCACTTTGCCTCGTTAGATTGATTTGTGATTTTAAGATTTTATCACAACCTAAGTAAACCTGAGTGCTTCCTGTTTCTATTACAAACACAAAACATTCAACAACACTATGGTTGTCACCACACATAACCTGCTGGTGCCTCGCTTATCGCACGAATAGGTATGAGTAATGGCAGTGCTGGTTTTGACAAGTGATTCCATAACGTTAGCCTCTCTTAGCCAATCTCAATTTCCTCAACCCATCTATTTTAATTACCTCTTCCCCTCGCTCACTCCAACCACCAATCCCGCAGGTCAAATAAGACATATTTCCTGGCACACTTACGATCCATATTAATAAAAAATGTGACCTGGACCAGAAAAAGCTTGCAGTCTCAAATAAATAGCAGAGTAGCTTGAGAAACTTTTAGCCTTCGTTCATTTTGGAAAACATATTTCAACCCACTACAAGCAACCCAAGCTCACTGGAAAGATGTCAATGTGATGACATTGCTTTGTACTCGTGAGTGATGACAATGTTAGCTAACAACAATCTTCCCCTGTAATCATAATTTGTGTGAACAAGGATAAAAGTTGTTGGTCTTTTACTGTCACTGGTAGTCATTTCAGATGGAAACTGCTGCAAAATGTAACACAGGAGTTTTGCCAAAATTTAGGTAGAGGCACATTTTTCCAATGAGCAGGTTGACTACAAGTATCATAATAAGATACATTTAAATAGTTTAGTATTAGTTATACTAAACCATTAATGTGGAGACAAGCACAGTTTTCTTTCTTGTATTTAAATATTTCCTACTGAAACATCTATGGTTACTCAACATAAAATCGGTTCCCTGAGATGAGGGAATGAGACATTGTCTCAGTGGCTGACGCTATGGGGAAACTCCATTCTCTCGAAATACTGAAGCCTTAAATCACGCCGGTTTAAGTACACTGGCCAATTGCGTTCAAATGTGTGAAAAGAGCAGCTAAGACACTGAATGCCATTGCCTCAGAATCTGTCGACTGAAGGTAGAGTGGAGCTCATAAGATACTCTGAGCAATGTAACACAGCAGCTTCAGCGATGTTTCTAAGATGTGTATTCACACCAGGAAAGTCCGATAGTTCACTTGCTTTGGTCCGGACCAAATATTTTTTATTTTTTTTTGGTACGGTTCGCTTTCACACTGCTCTTTTTGCAAGTGAACCAAAATTTGTAAACAAAACCACACGTGTGCTAAGGTCGTCCATTCATTGGACAAGGATTCTCAAGTAGGGAAATCAGGAAGTGCAAAAAAGGCTCAGCATGGAGATATTTCGTACTGCAATATTTGTTATTTTACTAATTTTGTGTTAAGGAGACGGATAAGGTATACAGTTTTCATTCATAGAGAGGGGCTATGTTCACACATTCAAATAATGAGATTCTTATTGTATATACTGCTAACAAGTGCTGTCAATGTTAACGCTTGAAGTTTGTCCAGTTTATCGCAGCATCATCCTTGTATTGTAACTATCGTTACATTATATGAACTGCAAAAGCTTTTTTTGCATCTATGCGCGATTAGACTAAAGAGAACGCTCTGTATGTGAATGTCCTGATGCACACACTCATTCATTCATTCCATTCCAATGATGCACACACGACGCGCAGAAAGACGCGCAACAGTATCGTGTGGCCAGACAGCGCGCCGGAATGGAATTCTCTTTCGCACTTGAACAACAATAACACAAACCATTATGCCAAAATCTCCGACTACGGAAGCCTGTTAACTCAAAGGCGCAGTGCTTTCTTGCAATTGGGTCGGTTCATGTTCACACCGTAAACGAACCGTACCGGAGTTTGTTTGGAACCGTACCGAGACCACCTCTTCAGCTGGGTCTCGGTACAGTTGTTTGGTCCGCACCCGAGTTCGATTGCTGTATTCACACCTGCCCAAAAGGTCCGCACCAAGGGGGGAAACGAACTAGAGTTCGATTCAATCGAACCAAACAAGGCAGGTGTGAATACACCCTAAGTTATTTCCCTCATCTTGGGGAACCGAGGTTACATTGAGTAACCGGAGACATTCTCTTTCGAGTTCGATTCACTTGACTTTGCGTCAGTAGGTGAGTTGTCTGAGCAAGTCTCTGAAGGAGAAAGATTCTGAGGCATTGGCGTTCAACTCTGCCTTATATAGCTGCCGAGTCAGCCGCTATTTTCGCTCACTTGAATGTGATTGGTGTACTTACACTGGCGTGGTTCAATAAGACTTCAGTATTGATCAGAACTCGAAAGGCGACAGGAAGTTATCTCCTTAAAAAATCTCCTCAAATTCTCTCATTTACGCACCCTGGCGTCATGCCAGATGTATATGACTTTCTGAGGTTAGATGAAAACAAACTGAGATTTTTAGCAAAAATAATTCATCTCTGTGATTCTATATAATGCAAGTGGATAGGCCCCTCCAAGCCGACACTTCAAAAACCATTCAAAACGAACACAACGGTAATCCATACGACCCCAGTTGATGAATCAATTCTGAAGTTTTTAAACTATAAACCACTGCTTCCAGCCAACTGTCATACATGCGTTCGCTTGACATTACTGTCAACACATTGTGAAGCGTGTTATCAGCAATTTCAGAAACTTGTGAGGAAGTGATTTGGAAGCAGAGAGGACTGTCACTTCCCATGCAAGTTTCACAAGTAAAGTCACCTTTATTTTTATAGCACTTTATATAATACAGAGTGTTTCAAAGCAGCTTTACAGTGGTAACAGGAAAATGATTCAACGATGCAAACAGTTCATTTTGGCTGCACAGCAGCTGTAAAAAGAAAAAAAGTGTCATTGTTCAGCTGGAGTCAGTTCAATTGTAAAGATCATCAATTATAAGTTAATTTCATCTATAAAGCAGCTCTGGAGAAACCAGTGATGTCATCTTCCAGCTCATTCAGTTCTCATCCAATAGCGTCAGTGCAGTCAAGACAATAATATTGTTGAATAAACACACAGCACGCTGACAGTTGCCCAGAAGAGACAGTTTATAGTTTTAAAAGTTTTCAAATTAGAAAGAAGATTACTGGGCTCATATGGATTATCGTTGTGTTTGTTTTGAATGGTTTCTGAAGCATCAATTTTGAGGGATCCATCCACTTGCGTTGTGGACTCTAAAAATCTAAAAGTTTTGTGTTCATCTGAAGAAAGACAGTCATATACAGAAGCATTCACTCTATATATCAGCCCATGCAGCAAAACCACACTCAACTTTATCATCGATAATAGCAATGAAGACACTTTCGAAAGGAATTACATTTACTTCCAAAGAACCGATTGAAAGACAATAAAACAATAAAATAGTACAAACAAAGATGTTTTACCAGTGCTTGGGTATTTTTCTGAGGGTTTTTTAAAAGCATTAAACAGTCTTATATTTTCCCCAGTCTGTTGCCTGTAACGTCACAACTCTGACATCATAGATCTTCTTGGGCTGATGTTATTCCTTCAAACCAAACAAGGGTTAGAAAGGCATCTGGCAGTATAATTGCTCATTAAAACAGTATGTCTCTCCCTGCTTGTTTGGGTGTGTTGGTCAAATTATTGTTATTATTATGTCACGTAAATGACATTTACCATTTACCATATTATGTCACGTGTGTGTGTGTGTGTGTGTATTGTTGGCAGTGTACTAGCAAGGACACACAAAGGACAAAATATCTAGCATAACTGGAAAAATTTTCTGTGACTAATAATTCCTGAGCAAGACATTTTAGGAATGACAATACGAAGCAATTAACCTCTCATAACAATTAGAGAAAAGAAACATAGGGCAATAACAAAAAAAATCTATTTTTAAAATGTATAACCAACACATCACAAACCCACGTTTTTTCCATTTCTCTATAATCTGTCATTTAAGAGGGATTTGCTCCACACGCAGGTTGCGCGCGCCTAAAACTACATCCTCGTAACGCAGGTCCAAATGAGAATTCAGTTCTGCGTTGGATTGGGCAACAGGAAAATAATCTGAGCGAGAGATAAGGGGAATGGGTGACTGAGATAGAGTCTGAATGAAAGAAGAAGAAGAAGAAAAGGACGAGTGTGCACAAAGAGATGAAAGTGGATTTGGATCCTCAAAGTACCTCGTTTGTTTGTGATTCTGTGCTCTTTTTAACAATCATTCAACCCTTTCAGTGGTAAACTACTACATTATAAAGTGATTGGATTATAAAGCATGATAACTCTGACTAAAAGATTTCCAAGACCCCTGCAGCACTCTCATATCTAATGCGCTTTTATGCATATAGCGGTCGCCCCATCGCCAATATTCAAATGAAGAGACATCTGATAAACATTTTGGAGACGTATACAAACAGCATTCTCTTGTAGGCTATCGTCCCTCAGTAAAGTTAAGCGCTTACCGGTTGGTCTGTGCAGGGAACAGGTGGTCACTCAGGGATCAGTGCGGTTTATCCGCCGATGTGTGTTGTTGTTTGTCGATGGTGTTAGTCGCTCATGTCAGGGATCTATTTCCCCAGCGCGTCCAAGGCGAGGTTTCCAGCCAGACTAGCTTCTCGGTATGAGGAGACCCGGTAATTGCGGTTATCACGCTGACCACACTGTAACACAAATAATAAACAACTTAATCACCTTAATAGCCCTGATAGAACGGAGGCGCGCCTCAAACAAGTTGTGTAGCCTAACCTTAATGAACGAGTCACCACGCGCGCTTTACGCTAGTACTCATCCACTTATTGTTGGAAGAATTGTAAATTTAAGTACTGTCATTATTAGTGTTGGCTATCCCCGCTAATAATGACCTGGCGGTCCCCCAGCGTTTTTTGGGCGACACAAATTCAGCGGCTTGACACGGTTGGACCGTCGGCAAGCCGACCAATCTGAAAATGCGGTTGGTCTGCCAGCGTTTTTTGGGTGGCACGCCAACAGCGGTTTGCCGCGGCTGGGCCTGTGGGCCACCGTTGGTAGGCCTACACCAGTGGCAAGACGATAGTCGGTCCAGTGTTCCTGAGCGCTTCCAGGACATCTATCTTTTTTTTTTTCAGTTAAAAAGAATCTGAAAGCACTGAATACAAAAATTGTGAGACTGACCTAATAGCTATAGGCCTATCAAAAGCAAAGTGTTGGAATATAAAAAAAATACTGTAAAAACAACAATAAAAAAAATAAAAAATATATAAAAGTGCCACAATTGTCCCATATTAACTGAAATTGATAATGTGAAAGAAATTAGTAAATCAAGGTTAGCATATGCAGAAGAGCATGCAGGATTTGAATGGGGGGGGGGGGGGGGGACTAGCCTACATTACCCAGATAGCAATACGTCTGCAAGATGTCAGCTTTACATACATTCTAAATCATAAACATCTTTAAGACATTTTCTAAACGTCTATTTGACATCTGACAGGAATGCTCTGAACCCCCAAAAAGGGACTGTAAGAATGCATGGGTAGCTCTTAAAGTTTCAACCGTGTTTTCACATCTTAACTACAAAGTTAGATTATATAAACTAATCAAATTGCGCTAAATGTATCCTCGCGAATAGAAATCGCTTTTGGGTGAGGAGGTAACCATAGCAACAGATGCTTCGGTCGTTTTATCGGACTGTGCGTCGATAAAACATAAGCCTACTTTCTTTTTTAATACGTTATTAAAGACGTAGGCTACTCTTCAAATATATCACAAAAAGCGTCATTGTTTTGTCAACAATAAAAAACTGTAGGCCTACAATATTGGATGCCAAGGTTGACCTTAAAAAAAGACATGTTTCAAGCATTATTAGGTTGGCAACTGTAGGCTATTTTACAAGTGTTAGCGTCTACCCTGATAGCGCACGTCACAGAGATGTCTATTTTGATGTGCGTGTTTACATCTAGAAGATGTATTTTTTTAGAATGTTGGCTCATCTGCAATACGTCTGGACGTTTTCCTTTCAGATGTCAAATAGACGTTTAGAAACTGTCTTTAAGATGTTTATGATTTAGAAAGTATGTAAAACTGATATCTTAAAGACGTCTATCAGATGTTAGTAAACAGCAGACACTTTCCAGATGAAGTGATCTAGACATCTTGCAGCTATCGGAGGTTTACTGTAATGCAGTAAACGAACTGAAAAACATATCCTAAATGCCAATAAAAGCAACCCAATGTAGCCTATAACTTGAAACTCATTTTAAAATAAAAATGCAAGTTTGTTTGGTTTGATGGTTTGTCTTCTTAAATATGGCTAAAACTTTTTTTTACATTTGGAAGATGCTTATTTAAAGCAAATTACAATGCATTTAGGGCTATAGCCTACATTTGCTATTGTGTCTGGAATCAACCCTATGACCTTGGTCTTGATATTTCATACATTGTACTTAACTTCATTTATTTTAACAACATTGTAGCTACCGTTAAAATAAATGTTTTCTTTTTAACAACATAACTAAGTTTTATACTTTTTCTAGCAGCTATTTTACAGTAAAATAAAATACATTTTAAAAAATATATTTATTTATTCCGACTCACTGGTATGGTAGCCTAACTTTCAACCAAATATTTTTGTACAATCACAGCACCTTCTTATCCTTTTAAATGACCGTAATTCAAAACTTCGACACAACAGACTTCAGTTTAAGTTGACAACTGACCTTCCAAATTCAATGCAGCGCACCGTCAGTAGAATTCCCCACTCTTGTTAACGATGGACTTCGGCGATCCTCTCTAGCTCTTGTATTACAGGGTTCTCTCGTCCGCTGCTCGTGTATTGACATGTATCTCTAAATAAAATAGTCTTCATTCACCTCTCTTTGCTCTTAAGTAGCCCACGATCTGTTTTCAAAAGCCCGTCAGTTCCCGTTTGACACTGTTTGAGCTGAAGTGTTAGGGAATGGACACGGTTCTCGCTTCCTCTTTAGATTCAAAACCTCTAGGATGTGTCCTGCAAAAGATCAAACTGATCTAGTGTCCACGCACGTCTCCTCCATTGATCGCCGTGATTGTAATTAAT